GTGGTGGCCTTGGCTGCGTTGGGGTAACGGTTGGGCTGGGTGATCTTAAAGATCTTTTCCAACCCAAACAATTCTGGGATTCTATTCGATGATTCCACACCAAGCCTAAACTCAGCCACTTCCCCTTATCAGCTGATTTTTCTTCCCCAGCACCAGTTTCAGAAATCCTTTTGGGGCCACCTCCCTTTTTTGTCTGCTGTCAGAACAAACGGTTCCTGCAGCCGGTGAGGTTTGCAGGAGGATGAATGGGAAGAGCAGATGAAGGCCAGCGCAGAGGTGGGGGCCTGGAGTGTGCAGTGGGTGGTCAGAGCCCATCCAGACTAGGAGCGAGCATGGTGCTGGCCAACATGTTGAGAACGTCTGGTGTTACGTGAGTCATGGTGACGTCATGTTGTCCCCCTCTGAGGGAGAGCCGAGGCTTGTGACAAAACCACCTGGCCTGGGCTAAAATGTTTGATGCTGTCCGAACTGGACTTGGAAGACGTCGAGATAGAAGCCTACCAACATTGCGCACGACAAGCTGCGTTGCGTTTACTCTCCTAACTCTTGTGCTGCCTTGTGAAGGGATCTGCCTGGCTTGTGTCTCCCCTTCCCACCAACCCCCATCACTGCTGGGAAATGTCTGACTCCTGCCCTGTCCCGTTGGGTCACGTCAGCAACGCGAAAGCTGCTTCACCTCATTTGTGTCAGCTGTTTGATTTTGAGAGGAGCGCTAATGACCAACTAGCCTGACCTCGATGGACTGAAGTGCTTTGGGGAAGGTTCTGAAGAGGAGAACTAAAGCTGTAGAGGTAAATGGAAACGGGATAAAATACAACATAGATTTACCAAAGATGGATTGTACCTCCTCACCCCCCCTCTGGGCATGAAATCCTTTTCTGGATGAAGGATTTGGGGCAGATCTAATGTCCCTGGACTTCTGCAAAGCCTTTGATGCTCTGCCACAGGGATGAAAGTGGAGAAGGTGAGGATTAACAGCAGCGTGGGGGGAGGGACTGGCTCAATCAGAGACAACAGTTAATTTTGAGAGGGTCGCCCCTGACTGGAACGAGGTCATGGCAGAGCTGCTCGGAGATGAAATCTTGGAGCCGTCTGTCTGAATGGGGTTTTTGTACCGGCTTTGGCATGGAAGGTGTGCTGGGAAAACTTTCACCAAACACTGCTGGGCTTTGTTAACGCAGGGAAGATTTGGGATGCCGGGCAGAAGAAACCAGGCGACCTCGAGAACTGGGGCAATAGAAATGAGGCAGAATTTGGTTAAGGCCTGTGCAGGGTTGATTTAGTCCTAACTGTGCAAAGAATCCTGTCCCCTGCAGGCAAGTTAATTCAGGTTGGTTTTCCTGTAAGCCTCTCCCATACCTTTGACTCCGGCCCGTCCAGCGCGCTCCCCGAGCCTTCTACCGCTCTGTGGCAGCGGCCGCCCTAAGCCACGGTAGCCGTGTGCTGGGCGCGTGTGCGTGCCGATTGGCGTTGGCCCAACGCCGGGACGGGGGAAGAGCTGGTCAAGCATAAGCAAAAGGCAGTTGGTGCGAGCGCAAGAAAACACACATAAGCCGGCCATAAACTGTCTGGGAATGGGCGTATTTCCAATAATCGCGGGGAGAAACTCTTGAGTGGTGCAGCGTTAAGAAGAGAAATTTAGGATGAATCTCAACCGACGATACGAAGGGAATTGCCAGCGTGGTGCTTCTGACGGCGTTAGAGCCACGGGCTGAGCGCCTGCCTGCGGGGCCCTCTCCCTCCCCCTTCCTCAGAAGGAGCAGGTACTGCGGTGAGACTTGGTGAAGCTCCGTGAAGCCAATGGATGCCAGAGCCATCCTGCTGTGGAAACAGAGGGAAAACCCATTAGCAGCATGGAATAGCCCAGCCTGGGCAGGAGCGGTGGGGAGGCCGGTTGGGGGATCTGGTTGTAGATGCAGGGAGGAGAGTATTTTGGATGCGGCGACCTACAGCTGTAGGGCACGCAGAGGAGACCACCAGCAAACTTCAGGATTTTAGGGGGCAAAAAAGCAAGAACGCTGGAGCGGAGCGACTCCAGCAAAACAAAAAGGCTTGGAACGGGACTCGAAAGATGTTTTCTTCACCGTGGGTTGCCATCTTCAGGGAGATGGCTGCTGCGCACTTCCTTCCTTCCTTGCCCTCTTTCTCTTGCAATTTTGCAAGAATCAACCCAGCATACTCGTAAGTACTGGATGAGGAGTAAAGGCCCTTGATGAAAACAAACGCAGGTGAATCCTCTGAAGGAGGGAAGAAACTCATCTGCGGACCAAAAAACCCAAGCTGTCAACTTTTAATAAAGCCTGGAGTACCTGGAGCACTGGGTCCAGTTCTGGGCTCCCCAGTTCAAGAACTACGAGGAACTCCTGGAGAGAGTTCAGAGGAGGGCACCAAGGATGATGGGGGGACTGGAGCATCTCCCCCACGAGGAAAGGCTGAGGGAGCTGGGCTTGTTCAGCCTGGAGAAGAGAAGGCTGAGAGGGGATCTCATCAACACCTACAAATATCTCAAGGGTGGGGATCACCAGGATGGAGCCAGACTCTTCCCAGTGGTGCCCAGCTCCAGGACAAGGGGCCATGGGCACAACCTGAAGCAGAAGAGTTTCCAGTTGAACGGGAAGGAAGAACTTGTTGACTGTGAGGGTGGCCGAGCCCTGGCCCAGGCTGCCCAGGGGGGCTGTGGAGTCTCCTTCTCTGGAGATCTTCAACCCCCGCCTGGACGCTGTCCTGTGCCCCCTGCTCTGGGTGAGCCTGCTTGGGCAGGGGGGTGGCACTGGGTGAGCTCCCGAGGGCCCTGCCAGCCCCGGCCATGCTGGGATTCTGAGATTTTTTTTACCTGGTTTTGTTATTGGCAGGTGGAGTCTTCTAAAGCCTGAGGGTTTTTAGCTTTAATCCTTTAGGATGAATGCCACGTTGAATTTGCCCGGTAACTTTAGAAGTCGGATGTGCCTGCCTGAAAATCGAGTCTCGTGGCTGTTGGGTCTGATGCTCGTACGTCGGTTCAGGAGAGCTCGGCCTCATCCTTTCCCTGCACGTTGATGCTGGGACCTGCGGATGCTCGTGGCGTTCAGTTCGCAGTCTGACCAGACTGGAGTTTGCAGACCCCTTGTGATTTTGCGTTCGTCTTGTTGCTCAGCGCAGTAACGGGCGAGGGGGCTCTTAGAATCGTTTGGGTTGGAAAAGACCTTTAAGATCATCAAGCCCAACCATTGAACCTCTCCAACCTCTCTTGACTGGGCTTTGATACTGAAGTAGCAGCCCCTGCCCGTGAAGGTGCTTTCATCGAGTCGCTCTTTGGTGTTCTGGAGGCACCATCCCTCCACTGCCGTGCGGGTGGTCTGGCCTGGCCCTGCCGCTTTGCTTTTGAACTACAAAGCCCGATTGCTTCATGGCTGTGCAATGACTTGTCCAGGTCTTGTCAGGCTTGGCTCTCCTCTGGTGCTCCTGCCAGCGCTGCGTGCTGGTGGTACGTGGGATGATCTTAGCAGGGGGATGGAGCAGGAGCAGGGCTCTGTCATGGAAGAAAATCGGGGTCGTAAAATGCATTGGGAGTTCTCGTGTTGCTTTGCCAGGATGAAAATCCCTTCTTCTGCTGTTTCGCAGATGCTTGTGTTGACACCGTAATTCCTGCTCAGCGTGCCAGGAAGGTAATAAAAACCATACTTGATAAAACGGCACCGCAGGCCTGGAAGCCAAGCGGCTGAAATGTGATCCTGACTACTAGTCAAGATAGTTATAGTAGTCAAAGTAACTAGTTATGCTTGGTGTGCACTGTTCTGTTGGCCGTAACTCGCTTTCCAAAGCCCGGCAGCAGCAGTACCCCA